ACCAACCAAGTTTCCAAATGGAAAAATGAACTGCTTACTACAAGAACCAAGCACCGTGCAGAAGGGAGTAGCACGCGCTCTAAGAACATGTAACAAACAACAAAATGTGGGGCATGGGAAGGAAGGGTTCGGGTGACAGCCCCAAGCCTGCCACTTGATAAAGGACAGAAAGTGAACAAGAGCAGGAAAGGTTTTCTGAGAATGCCCCAGGTCTGCTCAAGACACACCCTCCAGGGCCCTTCTCCCCCCCCCCCCACTATCAGTCTTCCCTTGTCCACGAAGGCCTGCCCCCTTACAGAGGGCCTAGATATGCCATGTACTCTCCGAGGGAGCACTCCTTCTCAGGCCTGACATTTTGGAGTACTCATTTTTGTTCGCCATGATGCCATTATACAAAAGAAATTAAAAGCTAATAAATACAGCTCTTTCTTCCTCTGTGGTCAGCTCTCTCTCTCTCTCTCTCTCTCTCTCTCTCTCTCTCTCTCCCCAGAATGTTCCATTGATACTGGTAGCTGGGGATGGAATCCAATTTTCTGGAATTAAAACAAGAAAAGTTTGGGGAGGGTGAGCTTCTCAGATACAGCCATCTCCCAACCTGAGAGGATGCTAAGGTTTAGGTCAAAATGAGTGACAAGCAAGAGGGCATGAGGGGAAAAGTAGGGCATTGTAGTTGAAGGGCTGGAAAGCAGCCATACCAACAGGGAAACAGATGTGTTTTCTCGGAGTCCTGATTTTTCTTAGAATTAGTTAGGGCCGCATCACTCCCTAGGCATCAGTTTGTTGAGGAGAAGATGGGGTCAAGGAAGGACCCTAAGGGCTGTACTGCCTCCTGCAGAGGTCCTAGACCCCTGGGGAAGAGGCGCACAGACCACCTACTCATAGGAGGAGCCTGAATGGTCCACAGCTCTGAAAGAGGCACCGCCGGGGACAGGAGAGTATCCCATCTGAAGCTTCATTCCCTCCTGGCATCCTCTGAACATAGCCAGGCTGTCATGATGCCCCAAGGACCAAAAAGGGGGGCTTTATTCCATTCTCACACCTGAGGATTTTATTGCCATGGTTGAAGAATGAAGATTGGCCCATCCCCAGCCTCCTCTCTTTCTGCTCCGAGATGTGACTTCTTCGAGTTCTCAGTAACCGGTGGATTTGATTATATCTCCTGCTCTTCCAGGCCAGCCTGTCATTCCCAGGATGAATGGAAGCCTGGCAGAAGAGCAAGTCTAACCAGCAACAGTGCCACACCCTTCCCAGAGGGATGTCCAGGATTCCATAGGATGTTTCTTCGGGCTCTGGTTAAACAAGAAAGCTGAGTGTGAAGTTCTGACCCTAAGTCAGGGAGCTAAGAGCCTGATGCCACCTGCGGGTGAGCCTGAGCACCCAGTTCATGCTTGAACAAGTACCCTGCAAAGCCAATGTTCAGAAAGTGGCTCCCATAGGTGGTCAGGGCCAAGGTCATTCATTCTGGTTCAAACTGATGATGGGCATTTTAACCAGTCCCTTCTAGTTTTCTTTTTTTTTTATTTATTTTTTATTTTTTATTTTTTCCCCTTCTAGTTTTCATCTTCCCCGCCATGACAGTCATTCAACGTTTATCTTTCAATTTCTATATTCCTGATTTAAGCGATATTCCCAAGCAACTGCCTGTGTGTCCCAGTCCACTCCACCTTATGGAAACAAGGATTTGTTTCCATAAAATCCAGCAGCTACTTCTCCCAGGAACAACTTTCAGGGACTTCCTGCTCAACAAACCCATCACAACAAAATTAGCCCTCAGCACTCCAGCAGGAGGTCAGGAGAGCCCAGACCTTCCACGGCAGAGGCTTGAGTCCCAGACATCTAGACATTACCCTCACAGTCTCCTACTGAGGCAGATTTCATCAGCAGATCTGTCTGTCCCCATCAGGGAAACACAAGGAGACAGCCTCTCGCTTCCCCTGGGAAGGCTATGACCCAGAAACTCCGACCCTGACAAGTATGGGAAGGGATAAGGAACAGTGTGTCCTGTGTTGGGACAGTAACACGATTTAGCCTTTGCTGAATAACATGCCAGTTCCTCTAAGGTCATAAATAAGACTGCCCTGTAATATGGCGATTGCACCTGAGCAACAGAATTTAAAGCAGGAACACCCAGAAACTGCTGAACACTCATGTTCATGGCTACAGTAGAATCCACAATGGTTCATCTGTGGAAGCAACCTAAGAGTCCATCAGCAGGAAAACACTGGACACAGGATCCGTAGGCTCGCTCTACCTTCAGAGGAAGGGGATTCTGACACAAGCTACAACGCAGACACACTTTGAGAATTTTGCTACAAAACCCCGACCAGAAACAAAAGACAGGTTTTGCATAATTCCACTCACTACCTCCTATTGAATGCTTGAGTCCCCGCAGATTTGCACATTGAAATCTTAAGCCATGAGGTGACAGGAGCAGATTGCGAGGGTGGGAGGACTCATGAACAGGACACGCCCTGAGGCGGGACCCCAGGAAACTCTGACCTCTTTCCACCATGCGAGGACACAGCTGGGAACTCAGTCCCCACCAGACACCATATCTGCCTTCATTCTGGACGTCTGGCATCCATAACTATGAGAGATATTTATTGCCCGAGCATCCAGTATGTGGTGCTTCCGTCACAGAAGCTAGAAATAACCAAGGCAAGGTGTCCTGGTACTCAAAACCAGAGATAGAAGCAGAACTCTGCTGCCAGGGCCCGGAACGAGGGCAAGGGAGAGTTATCACTTAATGGAGACAGCTTCATCTTTGCAAGATGAAAGTAGTCAAAGTCAGTCCCACAACAACATGGCCATGGGGACATGGGACTGTGTGCCCAAAACAGGATAGGTGATAAACATTATGCTAAATGTAGTATATACCAGTTTTTTTTTTTAAGAAGTTGGGAAAAAAAAAAGCCAAGGACTTTTATAACAAATTTGCATAGCCTATCTCCAAGAATCATAGCCCCAACAGGTGAAGCAGCCATTGGTGAAAGGAACATCTGACTGGAAACACTGGTCTCAGATGCACATGCCCTGCTACCGCCTGGCACTCGGTGGGGCTTCAGTGGGCTTCATCTCCCCTATAGAAAAGTGACTCACCCTCTGAACCACACCGTACAAGTGGATATATCCTCGGGTCTACCAGACATCGCATCTTCCTTTCCAGGTCCTCACTCCTTCCTGTCTGGGTGATGTCTACAACTGTGGCCACTGAGAGCAGCTGGAAGAACAGACCCCGACCTGTGACAGGCCTTCTTCTGACACCCAGCCTAAGACTCCTGGTGGCCTGACTGGGCAGTTAACTGGGATCAGTGTTCTAACAGTACCACCCATGAGCTCAGAAAACATGCCTGTCTCCCTGCTCCCCCCACAACCTGTGTCCAGGCCAACAACTTTCAAAACCAAGACTTGGTCAGAGGACCCATAATCTTGGGGTTCTGCAAACTTGTCATAGGACAGGATACCCCAGATGCCCTCATGAGCACCAAGAATGCCCCCCGAAGGAATGTAGGGGACAGTAGATGCAGGAAGGGTTGGGTAATGGATACCCTGAAAACCCCCAGGGGACAGAAATAGGAAGAGTCCCAGAAAACAGCACCTACCCCTGCTCCCCACAACTCCAGGCTAGCCCACTAATGGTAGTCTTCATCCTGGGATGTGACAACTCAGCCCTCTCCAGACCTAGTTTGTGTCTCCCAGTTCCAGTACCCCCATGGCTACTTTCCTGAGCCCAGTTCCAGTACCTCCATCAGCTACTTCCCTGAACCCAGTTCCAGCCACTGTCCTCCGCTATTCCACACCCCCGCCCCCACCACACACACACACCTGTCCTTCCTGCCTGCACCCTCTGTAGCTCTGGCAACATAAGCACAGAGGGGTTTCAACTGGTCTCAGTTAGGCTAACCATCTTTGCAGTTTCCAAGCAGTAGGCCTGGAGGAACCCCTGGGACCCGGGATGTTAGGGACCCTCCCTGTGGTGTTTTCAACCCTGTGCAAAGTGCTCATCTGCTTTGACTTACATTCACTGCGGGCAACCAGAACAGCCATCCTTTGTGATCCAATGAAGTAGAGGCAATTAATCACCCTCAATCACCCTGTGCCTTGTACTCTGGTGGCTGTACAATCTCTTTAGAGAGGGCTTTCAGAGCCTAAATAGACACAGAGCCCAGACAGCTGTGAGGCCGGAGGGGAGGGAGGTACCCGGACAGCTGAACAGAAACGTCTGTTCAGGAGGGGTCCATCCACAGCACACTACGCGGCAGAAGCCGAGGGCTAATTCCAGCCTTTTCAGAGCCCTAGTTAAGTCTCTTTGAGTTATAATTACCCCCAATCTGTAGCTATCACAAGGCAGCAATCAGGAAGTTAGATCTGGCCAAGAAAGAACAAGGCAAGTGGAGACAGGCTCAGCAAGCCGGCTGCTTGAGGGACAAGCGCTTCAGGGTTGGTCTGAGAGAAAGCAGGCTGGGCCACCACACTAAGTTCTGTCTCCTTGCACCTAAGAAACAGACACAGGTACAGCCTGGCCTCTGGACTCCAGTGTGACCTGAGCTGTTGTTTTGGTTGGCAGATCCATCGGATGTCAGAGCAGATTGGGGAGCAGGCTACACAATGCAGCCCTTCTAAGATCCCCCCATCCTTCTAGGCCACAGTGCACCCCTTACTGAGGAAATCACTCAGCCTGCAAGAGGGCTTCAGTATTGTGAGTGGGTGGGTGTTAGGATGCAGAACGTTACAGGGTGACAAAGGTTCTACAGAGCTAAACCAGGACACCTATGCTCAGCTGAGTCAGGAGTCCAGAGACATTGCCCGGAAGGTGGAGGAGGGTTGTGCTGACACAACCCAGAAATGCCCAGAGTCCCCTGCTTCTTCCCTGACCGTCCTGAGCTTTTTGCCCCAGTGATGGGACTAGCTTCTCTGAGGAGTGATGGAGCAAGTCTGTGTGGCTCTGTGGTCCCACATGTCCCCAGCCTCCACTGGCCCACCCAGAGGTTCTTTCTTACCTTGCCAAAGCTGCCCTTCCCAATGGCTCGCAGAATCTGGAAGTGGTCGAAGTTCACTGTGGGATGAAGCAGAGAGACACCAGGTAAGGTGGTGGAAAGGCCTGTGCCAGGCACAAGCCCCACCCTTGAGAAGTTCGCCCCTGCTTGGCAATGCTGCAGGCTATCAGAGATCGCCCACTTAACCCCTCAAGAGGGCTGGTCATGTCTCTGAGTGAACTCCAGGTATACAGAGGATGGTTCAGACCCTCCTTGCAGGATTTGCAGGATTGCTATGGAGTGGAGGCAAGTATATGATCAGCAGCGGGACTGGGGTTAATGAGCCAACGCAGGCTCCCAGACTTCCACTGCTGCAATCCTGCACCCAGCAGCTCCCTTGATATCACACCCCATGAAAGATGTGCAACAGGAAGTCCAGGCCTCTGGGCTCTGGGAGCACCAGCCCCTGCTCCGGGGTTCTCCAGCAACGGGAGGGAGTACTGGCCAGGGCGGAGCTCGCTGGACGAGCCCAGGATTGCAATGGTCTCTGATGAACAATGGGGTGCAGCACAGGACAACATACAACACAGCTGGCTGTCCTTTCCAGGGGTCACCAGGGCCCAGCTGATGGCGCCTCTCTGCTGTCACAGCCCTGGTGAGGGAGGCACCCTCTGCAGGTGCAGCAAACCTTTGTCAGTGAAGGATTCTGATCCCCAGACTTCCTGCTGTGCCCTGCCTGAAGCTCTCCCAGGGGTCAGTGCGTGTCAGTTTCTCTTACTGTCCTTTTCTCAGGTAAGGCCTATGGGATGGGCTCAGGCAGCCTAGATTTCTGTCCAGCCCCACTGAGTCAGGCCCCTCCAGGCCTGCTAGCAGCCTAAGTCCCCAAGTGGGTGACTCCACACTCTACCACTTGGAGGGTCCACCCAGGGTGTTCAGCCTAGCTGCACAGACACTGAACTCTGGGGAAACCCTGACTACCCGTGGCTGGTGGTGTTACTAATTCACTTCATAACCACTTCCTCCCATACCAGAGATTTGGGGCCGAGTGGGACTCCCATTCTACCTTATATGTGGAAGACAGGTACTCGGCTGCTACCCCAGACCAGGAAGCTGATTGGTACAGGCTTAAGTAAAAACTGGATTGCTTGGGGGGCAAGATGAAGTGGACAGGGTGCCAGCAGCTGGACTGGCCACAAGGTCAGGAAGGCCCTAGGGAATGGGTCCACTCTTCACAGATGACAACACAGTCACCTCCTCCAAGCCTGTGCAGCACCAGACACCACATACCAGGTGGGATCACCTGACACCAGGGCTGCCTCGTTTGGGGCCACCTGCTGGAGACCTCAGCTTGTTCGGTCGGTTTTTTGTTTGGGGTTTTGTTTTTGAGAAAACTGCACACTGCAGAGAGAAAGCAATCACAGCAGGGTGGGTGGCAGCCAGCCCCTCTGCCCCTCCTATGAGCAGGAAAGCAATGGTTGCTGGTTCCTGTAAGCCACTGCATCTACCAGCTGGGAGAGGAAGCCTGGTTGTCCGAGCCTAGCCACGTGGCAAGGACAAAACTAAAAGGACAAAGAAAGAGGGTGGTGAGTGCATGGTGGGTAAGGTGGGACCGTGCAGACCCCATCCAGCAGAGGCTCACACGGACCTTGCTCTTCTCTTAAGCCCTAGGCTGTCCCATAGACCCGGCTCTGCTCGGAGCTACGAAGCCAGGTGAGGGTGCCCTATGCTGCAGCCACTCCAGAGTCTTTCCACACCTTGCAGTTTATGCCCATCCGTGGCAAACACACTAGTCCTGCCTGGTGATGAGTGTTATGCAGGGTTCCAAATGAAATGAGCATGGGTGGGGGAAGGGATCTGGGGTCAGGTGCAGGATCAGCAAGGCTGGGAGTGGAGATAAGGCGCTGACCTTGGGATTTAAAATAAGGCCTGCATCTTGATGATGGAAGGGAAGAAGGAGACAGGCTCTGCCAGCAAGCTTTGGGCCAGGGTCCCTCTGCCTCCCAATCAGAACCCTGATGCAGCTGCTGTTACCTAGAGTCCCTGGTCTCCTACAGCTGCACAAGAGACCTAACATACTCAGGCACCCAAGTTAGGCAGCCTTGCCCACTCCCAACAGTTGATAAGAAGTATGCCCCCCCATGCCCATCTTCAGAATGATAGCATGGAGTCTGTTGAGCTTTATCCTAGCCCCATTGGTAGCCAGAGTCCAGCCCAACACCACTTGAGAAACAAGTTAGGGAAGCTCCCTGGGATGTCCTCAGTAGCCAGCACAATGCAGGGCATCAAGCGTCAGCCCAACAGCGGTGAGTTCACACAGGAACTCAGCCAAGGCAGCTAGCTTTTGCAGGGCCTAGGTATAATGCTCTGGGTTTAGCCTTTATGGAGAGAAAGGATGAGAAATAAAACACATTAAATAACAGTCAGAGGCATGTGTGAGTCTCCGAGCAGCTGTCCCGTTCCACGCTCAGACACCTGCCCAGTCGAAGTCACCATCCAGGCTTGTGGGCATGAAGCCTCCTAGGAAAGCTGGGTATAATGGCACCTGCTTTTAACCCCGGCACTTGGAAGGCAGAGGCAGGTGGATCTCTATGAGTTCAAGGCCAGCCTGTTCTAAACTTTGCATTCAGGCCAGCCATAATACATAGTGAGACCCGATCTCCAAACAAAGAGACAAACACCAGAAAAGACTCCAGGCTCCTAGAGAAGAACTGGCAGGGTCTGCTGAGGGACAGAGCCAAGGAGTGCACAGCGAGAGCTGTGGTTTGGACACTGGCTTGTCTGTGGCTCTCAGCAGCCCCCAGCTCCCTGCGATGGGCCAGAGTAGCTCTGGAGGAGCCCGCCGTGTGCCCATCTCCTTGGATCCTTGGTTCCCTCCTACGCCGAGGGCCCATGAGGATCTCACCTGCCAACTCCTGCAGTGGGTGCGGGAGACAGGCAAGCACTGCTGGCTGCAGCCCTGAGAAGATGCAGGTGCCAGGTGGCTTCAGGCTTCAGTATGCAACCCTCCCAACCTCATTCCATAACCAATTCATAAAAACACCCAGAGATATGGCTGCCAGGGGAGTTCCCCAGGGTTGGAAATTAACATGGCCTGTACAGGGAAAAATCCCTGCTGAGACAAAGGGTACTGGGTTCATTAAGTTGACCCACTCTCCCGGTAATTGGCCCTTGGAGTGGAAAAAAAAATCAAAATAAAGATTCCTGACTTTCCCCAAACCGGTCTCATTGCCAACAGCTTTGTCCACGAAAGTGACCGGGCCAGTTCTACTTGCTATCCATTCACTAACAAACTTAACTGGCTTCTCTTCCAAAGACCCCAGAACCCAGCGCTGCTGCCACTCCCCAGATGCAAGCTCCTCCCCTTTCTTTTGGGTTCCCATAGCAGCCATGGGTCTGGCTACACATCCCAGCACTGAGAAGAAGAGTCTAAAACCCTGACGACTCTTTTCAGGCTTGTCCTTGTTGGGGAGACACAAAGAAAATTCTGCTGTGAAAGAAAACACTCTAGACAAACAAATAAGTGGGGGCAATGCAAGGAAAGGGGGTACAGACTACCTGTTTTTACAAAGTCACCACAGGGACGCTTCTGAGGATGACCCTGGGCAGAAGAGCAAGCCCAGGAGAGGGCTGGTCAAGACAGTTTGCCCAACTTCAGCACTAGTTGTTGTACAAAGGTGAGGTGAGATCCCTACCCCCTGCCCAGTGTTGAACACCTTGTAAATCCTCAAGCAGGTAGAAGAAAAGACTAGTTCAATTTCCTACAGGTCCTTCTTACACATCCACATCTCCTGCTTGAATTCAAATTTGCAGCGCAAGGAAATGGCCCAGCTCAGAGCTCCGAGCCCCCAGATGCTCTTCCATCGTACAACATACTGAAGAGCGTGGGCACAGACTCTTCCCAGGGCAGATAAATATTTCAAAAATCAAGGGTTTTTAAAATATTTATTCTTCGAGGAACGCTTTCATTTTGCAGAGTGTGGCTGGAAGCAGTCATTGCTATACGGGGACAGGTCACCTCTCTTGTACCTATAGCTCTGCAGCCTTTTTCTCCAGGATGAGGCACCAGGTGAGGTATCAGGGAGCCATCGAGAGTGCTGTTCAAGTCATCGGCTGGGGTCCCAACCACTAAACCAAACCAGCAGGAAAAGACAGGGTATCTCAGCATCCCAAGCCAGCAACTCAGAGAATTTCCGGTCACGTGTTCTCCCAGGGTAGCATCTGACTACGATTCTGAGTGCCCCCTTCGATACTGAGGCTTGGCTGGGTGAGAAACACATACCATAGGAACGACAGTCAACACTGCCTTTTCCCCCTCTGGTTTCCCTGCGACTGCCGGATGCTCTGACTGAGCAGCCTGAGCAGCTGTTTCTGCACACACGTGTCCTCAGCACCTTTGGCTCACATAAGGAGTGTCACCTGTTGGTCCTGTTGCGGCAAGCAAATCAAGGGTGGCTGGAAGAGGCAGAGGGGGGCAATGATTCTGATGACAATATCAAGACCATATGTCAGCTAAAAACAGTCAACAGAAAGCCAAAAAAACAGAGATCCGTATACAGTTGCATACAATCCTAAGCAAAATCTACAGGTCTTATTTGAATGTGCCTCTCCTCCAAACACCCTGCCTGCAGCTGACAGGGTCAGGCCTCCTCCCCTCTTCTATGTGGCTCCTCAGGTCTGTCACTGGGTTCAGCGCACGGACTGTGGTGGGCATAGAAGCAGTGCTCCCTAACAGGAAAGCAACGGGGAAGTGCTAAGTCACTAGGTTCTATGTTAAAGCAGACAAAGACATGCCCCTGTGAGGAAGACAGAGGGAAGATGGTCCCTGGGAAAGTAAAAATAGACCAGCGGCTGCACCGTGAGTCACGCTATTGTTATCGGTGACACAGTCAATGCACAGCCTGAAGGCCTCCCCCGCAGGCCTGGAGGGGCAGCTATGCTCGCTCTCCACAGCCCAGAGAAGTCTCTGGAGAGCCCTATCCAAATCCAGGACGGGCCCAGGAAGTTAAGTGCTGGATAGAGAAAAGCCAGGGCTGAGGGGTGCTACCCACAGCCTCCAATGGATCTGAAGCTGGGAACCTTT